AAATCAAGTTTTGCCCGGAGTAGATCTTCCGGATTATATATCTGAAAATAATTAATCAGTAAATAGCCTACTGATTTCACTGATATGTATTCCAAGAGAGGAACTATAAGGTGGCAATCAAGATAGCCACTTATTTTACGAGTCAGATCATATCGTGCCATTTTCGGAGCAGCACGAGGAACAAGAAAACTAGTGGTAGTCAACACAATTATTCATAGCATTCGAAATAAAATTTAAGAATTTATGAATCTGCCTAAAGTATGTAAAATATTTATATTAATTTATATAACTCTATTAATTTTGCATTTGCTTTTATTTTATTTCTAATATTTGAATAAATTTATTTTCTATGCGTTTTTAAGTTCTGGCACTTTATTTGGTTGTCCTATTTCCTGTTTCCATGCAGCAGTTATTAGACTTTCATCACAAGCTTCAGGCTGTCCTAGACCATAAGAATGTTGTGACAGATTTGCTTATTAAAATTGAAGAAAAGTCTAAAGTGAAGAAAATATTTATCGTTTATGGTAATTTTTTGCTGCACTATTAATTTTAGGACTACTTGTACTTCTCGCGATCTACTTGATTGTTGGTTACGGTAGCGTTTTTCTAGCGAACTTTATTGGCTTTTTATATCCGGCTTATGCTTCGTAAGCTTGATTTTTAATTTCCCTTCAGAATTAAAGCGATTGAAACCAAGGCTAAGGATGATGATACCAAATGGTTGACGTACTGGGTTGTTTACGCCTCAATCAGCTTGATTGAAGTATTTACTGACATATTACTTTTCTGGATACCCCTTTACTCATTTTTGAAGGTATAATATATCACTATCGATTTGGTCTTTTGATACTGGATAATAAAAATATTCCCTTATTTTAGTGCCTTATATTCTTATACCTGATGTTGCCGATTGATTCAAATGGATCAGTTTTGCTCTACACTAAGTTCATTCGACCACTCGTTCTTGATCATCAAAAAGGGATCGATGAAGCAATTGACAAAACATCTCAGTTTGTTTCAGATTCTGCCAAAAAAGGTTTCGTTATTTTTTTGTCATTGGCTTTTTTAAATGAAATTCTTAAAGTTAACATAATTCACATTTTGTCCATTTTTTAGCCAGTAAGGCGGCAGATATACTAGGACTAAAGGCCGAATGAAATTGAATGAGGGTTAACTAATTGTTCTCACTGTTTTATTGCATTACTTTCAACTTGATAAAGGAATTTTAATTTACTTTTCTTATCCATTGTATTTCCTTCATTTGCTTACTAGGCTTTATCCAGTCTAATTCAGATAAGAAAGCCTCAGTTGCACATTGTCTGGATATTTTGCTGGCCTAGTCAGCGTAAATTCACAAATTACCTTAAAAATTTAAAGTTTATTTCCTTACAACCTTGAGTGCTCTTGCCTTTGCTTTAAAGGTTTAGCTTTTCATTTAATTTAATTTACTATACTCTTTATTATTTAGTTGTTATAACATTACACATGGAACTACTGCTCTTTACATTTCTCGGTTTTTATACCTTTCTTTTGCTCTGATCGGTCTCTCTATAATCATTTTTGATTGTATTTTTTTATGGCCAGTCTTATGTGAGGATCTTGTTTAGTGTGTTATAA